GGATACCACGAAGCCTCCTCCCAGAAGGTAACAAGGAAAACAGGTCGTGAAGACAATGTAGTGTCCCAAATAATCTTACGGACCTTGCTCAAGCAGCGCTTCTGTGCTATGTCCTATATGGGAGGGAGGGGACTGCCAATGATCTTTTTGGCCATTCTCACCACTCTCTGCACCGCTTTCCTATCTGAAGCAGTGATGCTTCCAAATCAGACTGTGATGCTGTATGACAGGATGCTCTTGATCGTCCTCCTGTAGAAAGTGGTCAGGACAGCGGAAGGAAGATGTGCTTTTCTCATGCGACGCAGAAAATGCAGGCGCTGCTGTGCCCGCTTTACCAGTTTCTCACTGTTGAGCGACCAAGCCAACCCAGTCGTTAGCTGCACACCCAGGAATTTGATGCTGGTAACCATCTCCACTGGTGAATCATTTATGCACAGAGATGTGTGGCTGTGCCTGCCTTTTCTGAAATCAACAATGATCTCTTTGGTTTTTCCGATATTTAAAACTAGGCTTTTTTCCTTACAATTAATTACAATTAATTAATTAATTCCCAATTAAAAGCAGAACTTGTAATGACTGATAAGCATGGTAGATTTGTTGGGGTGGAAATTAATATGCATGGAACTAAGATTTAGATGGCCCAAATTTGGACAAAGTATTGTTTTACAAATGGAGAAACTAATATATGTTGCTTCTGAAAATTAATGTTTGCTGGAGTGATCTCCCCACAAGTGGACAGAACTTCTGAGAAAAATATTAAAATCACTCAAAGCAAGTTATCAAAGTTTTCTTTGATTTGATGGACAATTTAGGGCTGGGTGATATATGGAGAAAGAAAAATGGTACTTTAAGAAATTATGCCTATATATCCTTTTCAAAAATAGACATGATTTGGATTTCAAAAGAAATCGGCTACTAATGTATACTCAAAAGGGGACAAGATTTGATTTTAACAAGAAGCTATAGGCCCATATAATTATTGAATAATGACTACAAGAAGTTCACAAAAATTCCAGCTGACAAACTGAAAATAATTTTGCAGAAATTTATTCATGAGAGTCAATATAGATTTTTACCTAAAAGTCAATTAAAGGACAATGTTTAGAAATGGGCTGGGCATTTTGGAATATTTTGAGAACATAATAAAAAAAAACTATCTGTATTGATCTTCTAAGATGCAGAAAACAATTGGAATTGGGCTGCGAATAATATAGGGATGCTCACAGTCTCCTCTCTTCTTTATTTTGATTCTTGAAATAATGAACAGAGATATAAGACAAGATGAGGGAATATTGAAGTAAAGAATTTATAAAAAATCTATAAGTTAAGGGCTTTTGCAGATGACTTGGTGTTGGTTATGAAAGATCCTTTAAAGGGAAATAAAATATTAATGGCAAATTAAAAGTTCTTGGTGCATCAGCAGGTTTCAAGATTAATAAACAAAATATGAAGATGTTAACAAGAACTGTGAAACTGGAAGATCAAACAGAATTGATGAATAAAATGGGCTTTAAGATTGACAGGAAGATAAAATATCTGTGTATCACTATGACAAATATGAATTGCATGTTATTTCAAAATAACTATGTTAAGACATGGAATGAAGTTAAAAAGTTAGTTTAAGATGGGAAAAATTACAACTGTCATCACTGGGAAGAATTTCTGCAATAATAATAATAATAATAATAATAATAATAATAATAATAATAATAATAATAATAATAATAATAATAATAGTTGGAAGGGACCTTGGAGGTCATCGAGTCCAACCCCCTGCCCAGGCAGGAACCCTACACCATTTCAGACAAACGGCTGTCCAGTCTCTTCTTAAAAACTTCCAGTGTTGGAGCATTCACCACTTCTGGAGGCAGGTTGTTCCATTGGTTAATTGTTCTAACTGTCAGGAAGTTTCTCCTAAAAGTGAATGTCTTCCCTAGAATGATGTTTTTGTTTTAGACAATATCTGACAACTGATACACTATTTAAACAATGGCAGAAAGATGTACCTAAATTTTTATGGGAGGGGAAAGAGCCACAAGTTAAATATAAGGTGTTATAAGATGCAAAATAAATGTTTATCTGATTTGAAATTGTATTTTACAGCTTGCTGTTTGATTTGGATGAAAGGATAGGTGTTGCTGAGAAATGAAAAGTTTTGGAGTTAAAGGACATGACCCGAGATTTGAGTGGCATGGATGTTTGTGGCATGACAATGTCAAGGCTAATGTGAATTTTAAAAATCATTATGTTAGGTGTGCCATATTAAGAATATGGAATAGATACAAGTTGAGGTTATGCCCAAAAACACCTTTGTGGATCTCGGCACAAGAAGCATCTTATATACAAGAAATGGGCAAATACAAATGGCCAGGGCTTTTTTTCTCATAGAACGCCCAGAACGGAGTTCCGACACCTTTTTTGGATGGAACCTTGTAGGGTAGGCAAAGCAGGGTGTATGATGTGTGTGAGTTCCGGCACTTTTTTTTTTTTTTTAAAGCACTGCAAATGGCTAACTTGCTGTGAGATACCAGAATTTTGTGAAGAAAAATATAAAATAAAATCAAAAGAAGAACTGATGGTAGAGGGATATAGCATAGAAAATGAAGAAGCTAAAATACTCTGAGACTTTAGAATTCAAATGGAAACTACCTGCCACATTACACCCCAGACCTAACGATTGTTGGTAAGAAAGGCAAAAAAGTCTGGATAGTGGACACGGCAGTAGTTGGAGGCAGCAGAAGAGAAGAGAAAGAACTAGAGAAAACCACAAAATACAATGGCCTATAAATAAAAATAGAACAACTGTGGCAAACAAAAGAAAGCAAAGATAATACCAATAGTGATAGACATCTTGGGTGCAATCCCCAAACATCTGGAACACTACTTGAATACCATCAGCATTGACAAAATCATCACCAGTCAACTGCAAGAAGCAGCTTTACTTGGGACTGTTTACATCCTGTGACAATACTTTTAACATCATTAAACAAAAACATCTATCCATCCCAAGTCCTTGGGAAGAACTTGATAGGTGGGCAAAAATGCCAAATCAGTCTAAACATCGGGCTGACTGTGCCACCAATCATAGTAATAACTATTATTCATATATAATTTATATGCCACCCAACTCCAATGATTCTGAAAAATTTACTGAATGGTAATCAGAGCAGTCACAATGAATGGGCCATGCAACAGAAATGATGCTGTTGGGAAATAATCAGTCAAGCATGGAGAAGGAATCAAGCAGGAAATTAGCCTTGAATCACTGTGTACCCTCCAAGGGATCCAAGATTGAACCCCCACGCAACTCCATGGAGCCTTATCTATCTGTTTCCAAGGGAAGATAAACAGTCTAGGGAGATTTCTTGTATTATAGGCAGAATACAATAAAGTAGTTAGCTTGAACTCTACATGTATTGATCTGGTCACTTGTGCCTGACAGGTGCCTGAAGGGTGGAATCACACTGTTGCAGAGCCATTGTGGAATCACTGTACTACTATAAAGGGTCTTGTTTCTTCTTGACTGGGAAGAAAATTTAAGTATCCAAAGCCAAATTTATATATCTATTGATATATTCAGGAGATGAAAACTATGGATCTAACTGCAAATAATTTACTAAACTTGATAACATGAGAGCTGGGGATAAAAAAATCCCTGCAGTGGCAGTGTCTTTTGCCTTCCTGATCGTTATATAACAAAGTAGCATGACCAGAGGATTTTTCTCTTTATCTCACTCTCATCTTAGAAGTTTCTGAGAGTATTTTATTCTATGTATTTGTTCAGGTATTAGTTTACCATTGATGTTTTCTCCTAAGCCAAGAATATTGTCATATCTGCCTGTTATTATTAAAGTCTGGTTATCTTAAAGGAAAAGATCTAAGAGGATGTCATTTTCTTCCCCAGAGGTGATTTAGAGATTTTCTTTTTTTTAACTCCACCCCCACCCCACTCTTTAATTGTTCAAAATAGCACAAAAGTGACATATACTAAGCACTGGGTAAAAAGGTGAACCTGGTAAACAGCCAGGATAAAGTCCTATGAAGGCTGTTCCTGTCTCAGTGGAAAATACATCAGGTCGATATAAGACTGACAGAAGCAATCTTAAGGACTGAACAAGAAAGTGGGATAGAGCAAAATGCAAAAGAGCAGGGTAAAGAATAAGGGAGAGAAAGAAGTCTGCTCATGGGGTATCTTCTAGGGAAGTACTTTGCCTACCAATTCTTTCAACATGGTAAAGATTGTGTGGAGGCAGGAGGGCATTTGGAGATTTCCTTCTTAGCCCTGGAGCAGGTCCTTTCTCCTTGAGAGACATTCTCCATTCTTGTGGAGAGTAATATTAATTTACAAATGATTCTTCAATTATATAGTGTTCTAACAGAGTAATATCCACAAGAGGTTCACTAAATTTAAAGAAATAAGTTGAAAGCTAATGGCTTTGTGTCAGAAGTATACATGTTCATTGTTAATTAATGACTATTGATCTAAGATTGAAAGAACTGTAAAACAAACTCTAAGAACTTATAAAAACTTGCATATCTCAAATAGCAACTTCTCTTTCTCTTTTTGAAACTAATGTGATTGGTTTGCAAATATTTCCTCACAATGAAATGAGAGACGAAGCAGATAAATTAAGTGGGGAAATGAACACTATGGTTTAATGTTTATTAATGCTCAAGGCTTTAGGGAAAAGGGCATTAATAGTTGTTTCAGGTATGATGAAATGACAGGAAAAGTGATTCATCTACCTTGTTTAGGTCACAAAACACAACAATCTGGAAGATAATTCATCTTTTGCTGTCATGGCAAAAACCCTCTGCTGGACCTTTTCACCTAAAACATACTCCTTGATTTTTCAGCTATGATCATCAGAACAATTTCTATAACTTATATGTTGAACAGAAACACTCATGTCACTCAATATTAATCAATGTATAAAAGCAACAATTGAAAAATATTTACTATGAAAGAAATGTGAAGTACAGTTGTTTTGTTTACTCACCTGCCTATCTACTTCTGGAAGTAAAAGCAGGAGGTATTGTTGGAAATGCTGAGGTAATGAAAGAAATGTATGTTTGTTTATTAAAGCCCTCAAGTTGGTATTCACAAGAATAGATCCTGGTGTTTCTATATCAATGTCCTCGGCTTTGGTCCATTTCAAATGTCCTAGATTAAACAAATAAGAACACATTTAACTCTATCACAAATAAAAGAAGGCAAAGGTACATTTAATAAGTAAAATTCAAAACATTTACATTTCATATAGTATAGCAACTGTCCATGCTAAGGTGAGGAGCACTTTCTTTCCCAACACTTTTGAAAGCATTCTTCTACACACCACACACTTGCTTTCACATGTGCATAGTATTTTTGTTTCCTCTTTTCATATTATCAAAATAATGTTGCTTTATTTTATAGAAGGAACTATCTAACTATAGAAAATGAGTCAAATTCCAGTCTCATTACTTCATCAAACTATGCTGTTAAAATCAGTTGCTAAGCAAAATGTGTTAGAAACCAATAAAATGTGTTAGAAACTTGCAATAAAAGCTGTTTTAAAATAGAAACCAGCAAAAATCACATTATAAATTATACATTATAAATTGTTCTTTGTATACTTTCATGAAGGAACTAAAGCCACTAACACATTGTAAAGTTATGAATTAATCTTTTAAAAAAAATCTATATTTTCATATTTGAGTTGGTAAAGTAAGAACCATTGAGAAATAGAAAACAAAACAGGGTACTGGAGGTCAATAATCCATTACACAGACAGTGCTGCTGAAGTGATTTTGGATTTTATGACAATGGCCTAAGTAACCTTCATGAAGAACTGCTAGAGCAGATACCATGCTGAACTCATCAGGATGGTGTTAAACTAACAGGGGAACAGTGGCAGGAGTTCAGAAACAAATATGCATCCAAGCCTTAGAGCTAAGAAAACAGACTACAAAAAGAAAAGCAGGAGGCCAGAATGAAACTCAGAGATTCACAGACAGTCCAATAGCCAGTGCCACTCAAAATCTCAGTTGTTTCTACATTTATACATAGAAAATGGGAAATAAATAGGGAGATTAACACAAATACAAACACTGAGAACTAATGGCTTCTACTTATAGCTGGCACATAGCACAATTTATTCATAAGGAACAGATCCAACAAAAATGAGGTGGGGAGTGGCAATATATGTAAAGGAAAAATATGTTTGCATAGAAATCCAGTAATCAGAGCATTAATGCTCTACTGAAAGCATTTGTACAAGAATAAAATGAGACAGAAGGAAGAAATAAAGATGATATTGGGAATTTATTACAGATCACTTTAGCTGGCTGAAGATATGGATGAAGCTTTTATATAAGATTACCAGTCTTTCGAAGACCAATAGTAGAGATTTTAATTATAATGACATCAGCTGGGAATCTACCTCTGCTAAAAGTCAGAGAGCCAACAACTGTTTGTCCTTTCTTAATGACAATTTTATTTGTCAGAAAGTGGAAGAACAACAGACTTTGTCATCCTAGATCTAAATATCACTGACATGAAATAATTAGTTGAAGTAGTAAAGGTGACTGGTAGCTTTGGAAAATTAGTCATGTTACCCTTGAATTCATAATCTCCAGGGGAGGAGGTATGGAATAGAACCAGACCATTATTTTGTATTCCAAAAGATTAGACGTTGATAACCTTCAAGAGAAGCATGTTGGAGGGAAGCACAACAGGGTTATGTCCTGAACCCTGTGTTATTCAATATTTATAATGATTTGAAAGAAGGGGTTGAAGTGATAATTATCAAATTCGCAGATGACACAAAACTGGATTGGGTGACTAATATTTCAGAGGAAAGAAAGTTTTTAAAATATCTACACAAGCTTGAGTAGTGGGCTGAAGTAAACAGTGCAGAATTTAATAGCTGGAGGAAAAACATAGGACCCAAGTATAGGATGGGGAAGACCTGGTTTTGCAGTAATACATGTGAAAAGAATCTGGTTGACCTTGCCAACCACAAGTTAAATATGGTTAGCCATGTCCTGAAACTTTTAAAAGACAAATTCTATCTTGGGATTCATTAGCAGAAATATGGAGTCTAGATCACAGGAGTTAATTGTTTCACTCTAATCAGATCTCAGTTGGAATACGATTTGATATGCAGTTCTGGGCACTATAATTCAAAAAGGATAATGACAACTTTAACTGGGTTTAGAGGTAGGCTTCCAAAATAGTGATGGGTTTTGAAAGCAAGGTCTCTGAAGAATAGTTAAAAAGAATATGCTTGTTTTGCAGAAGAGGTGACTGAGGGGAAACATCATAGCAGATTTTAAATGTCTGAAAAGTTGTCACACAAGAGTAAACTTATTCCCTATTACTTCAAATATCAGATCCAGAAGCAATGAGTTAAAAAATATAAGGAAGTATAAACTGGGTATCAGAAGGAACATCATAATTATGTAAGCTATCAATCAGTGGAACAAGCTGTCACATGAAATGTTATGATCATCATTGTCTACACTGGAAGTAACAGTGATTTCAGTGTTGAAATTCATTTATTTTTTATTTTCAAAAACTGAAATGTTAAGAACAGAACTTAAAAATAAATAGAATTAAAAATCAGACATAATTGTTCCTAATGGGAATCTAATTTCTCATACATTTTCCTTGCTTAAAAAAGGTGTTTTGTTTTTTTTAAAAATCCTGCATATGCAACTCCAAGATACAAATTAAAAGTTGGGGGCTGGAGGGCACAGAATCTTAAAACAAAATCAAAAATTTGTGTCCATTAAAGCCGTAGTCTCTCAATGATATAAACAATAAAAAGTCAGCAAATGTATTTTCTCATTTTGCTTAACTTAACTTTAAAAATAATGTATTATGCACTAACTTTCCTTCTTCCCTCCTTCATGAAACTGAAGATAGCTTGTATAAAATTACAAGAACCTGAGCAGAAACGCTCAGTTTAAGCAGGATAGTGGTAATCATATGCCATCAGGCTGTCTCATGAGATAATAATTCTAGTACTTAATAATAGCTAAAAATGAAGACAACATCTAGCTCACAGAAATTCTATTTAGCCCTGACTTTTGAGATTTATTGATTTACTGATTTATTACATTTGTAATCTATCTTTCCTGCAAGATGTCAAGGTGCTACACACATGTGGAGTAGGGATGAAGAGTGACATTTATCTTACAGTAACAACACAGTCTGTAGTTCAAGAGAAAATAACAGTTGGGCACAAAAAAATGAGCAAATGGTCTCTCTGATTATGTGGAAACCTGTTCTCCTGTTCCCATAAACGTTGTAACCATTCTCAGGAATTGTTGACTGTTAAAAAAAAG